GATTGGGGAGGGAGGGACGGGGCGATACCTGAGATACGGCACCGCCCGGGCTGAGGGGTTGGGAACACTTTTGGGGTGACACAAGGACCTGGATGGGGTTTGGGGACACATCGGCGGTGACACAAGGACCGGCCTGGGCTTTGGGGACACTTTTGGGGTGACACAAGGACCGTGCCCAGGATCCCACAGCAGGACCGAGGCGCTCCGGCTGCTCCCCGGCAGGATGGGAGACCCCTTCGGCCGCTGGAGCAGCAGCCCCTCCCGGTGAGCGCCACCCCGGGGACCCCCGAGGGCTGGGCGGGACAGGGGACAGGGCGTGTCAATGTCCGTCTGTCCGTCCAGGAGCGAATATGACGACAGGACCCCGCTCCAACATTCCAACAGCTTCGCCCGCCTCAGCGGGAAGAGCATCTACAGTGAGTGAGGGCTGCACCCCAAAAACCCCCTCAGTGCCCCCCCCCAGCTCGTCCCTGTCCCCTCACCCCGCCTGTGCCCTCAGACCAGCGCAAGGACTACGGGCAGACGCTGCTCAAGCTCCAGAACGATTTCCAGCACCACGTTGAGGTAGAAGCCCCCCCAAAGTGCCCCGCGCCCCCCAGCCTTGCCAGGGGCCCGTGTCACACTGTGTGACACAGTGTGGCACCGTGTGGCCTCCTGTCCCCCCCAGCACCTGCTGACGATGCCCCTGGAGCGGGAGCTGCGCAGCGCCGAGGATTGCCTGGGGCGCCTGCGGGAGCTGGAGGAGCAGGGCCGGGTCTGGGGCCAGGATGTCGTCCTGGAGGTCAAGGACCAGGAGCTGGTGCTGAGCGATGTGGAGAGCAAGGTAACCCCGGACAGGACACCCCCAAACCCCTGTACCCCCGTTCAGGGCACCCCCAAAGCCTGGCACCCCGTGGCTAAGGGAACCCCCAAACCCCGGTACCCCCTGGCCACGGTGTCCCCTGAATCCTGGCACCCCTGGGCTATGGAGAACTCGAAATTCCGGTACCCTCTGGCTATGGGAACCCTCCAATTATGGTGCCCCCTGCCCAGGGTATTCCCTAAATCCTGGCACTACCTGGCTATGGGAACGCCCAAATTCAGGTACCCTCTGGCTATGGGAACCCCCAAATCCTGGTACTCCCCAGCTATAGGAACCCCCAAACCCCAGTACCCCCTGGCCACAGTGTCCCCTGAATCCTGGCACCCCCTGGGCTATGGGGAACTCCAAATTCCAGTACCCTCTGGCAATGGGAACACACAAATCCCAATAGCCCCCGGCCAGGGCATCCCCTGAATCCTGGCACACCCTGGCTGTGGGAACCCCCAAATCCCTGGAGGGCCGCCCCCTGTCCAAGTATCCCCAAATCCCAGTCCACCCCACTGCCCCCCACCCTGGCAGCTCCTACAGCCCTGGCACCCCCAATCTGGGCACCCACAGCCCTGCCCCACCTCCAGACTCAGCCCCCAAACTCTCCTGTGCGACCAGCACCCCCATTAAACCCCTAAATCGCGACCCCACAATCCTCCTGCACCCCTTTAACCCTTTCCTAGCCACTGATTCCCCCTGTTCCGCCTGGCAGGAGGAGCTGGAGGCGTTCCCGCTGGGAAGCGTGCAGGGATGCTCGGCCGGGCTGGACAACGCCGTGCTGGCCATCAGCGTGCAGGAGAGGAACCCTCCGAGAACCAGCGTGCTGCTCTTCCAGTGCGAGCGCCTGGGGGTGAGCCCTGAGCGGGGAAACGCGGGGGGCAGCGCCCCGGGATGGGCTCTGAGCGCAGCGGCTCCGTGCAGGCAGAGACGCTGAGGAGCAGCCTGGAGAAGGTGCTGAGGCAGAGGAAGGAGGAGCAGAGCAACCACTTCGGGCACAGGTATGGGGGGTAAGTGGCTCTGCGGTCCATCCCTGGAGACAGCTCGGCTGGGGCTCCAAGTGTCGCTCCCCAAAGTTGTGGTGAGTCTGGTGATGGGGTCTCCTTGTGGTCCCACAGCGCCCCANACTCCTTTCCTTCACCATCGCCTTAAAGCTTCTCTGCCAGAGGGAAACCTGAGGAGCAGCCCCTGTTATGGGGGGAAGCTCCATCCCAGCACCACCAGAGCTCCTGCAGGCCTGGATTTGTCCCCACGGGCCCAGCTGCAGCACCCAGCCAGCCCAAAGTGTCTGTGGGGTGAAACACCACACACCCAGGCAGCCCAAAGTGTCTGTGGGGTGAAACACCACAGGGCCACTGCTTGGTTCAGCAGCAAGGGCCAGACAAGCTCAGGCACATTCTGTCCAGCTCTATTGGTAATTATTTCAAATACCCAACGCTCTGCAGCAGGTGCAGCTCCCTCACTGAAATCCCCCAAAAAATTCTATTTCAACCTCCTCAAAGCAAGAAAATGATGGTGTGAAGGTCAGGGGGCTCCAGCCAGGAGCCACCAGCTGTGGACACCCCTGACTGAGGTAGACGTGGGCACTTCACTGCCAGGGTCCCCCAGATGTCACCCACTCAGCACCTCCATCACCCTTTGGTGGCCATGCCAAGGTGACTGTGCCAGGGTGACCATACACCAGGGTGACAATGCCAAGGTGACTGTGACAATGTGACCATAGACCAGGGTGGCCATGCCAGGGTGACAATGCCAAGGTGTCCATGCCAGGAAGACCATGCCAGGGTGACCATACACCAGGGTGACAATGCTAAGGTGACCATGCCAGGGTGACCATGCCAAGGTGACCATGAACCAGGATGACAATGCCACAGTGACCATTCTGTGGTGACCATGCCAGTGTGGCCATGCCAAGGTGACCATAGACAAAGTGACCATGAACCAGGGGCCAACCAAGCAAGACGTGGAGGCAGAATGACATCAAGATGTCCTCAAGCTCCTCTGTCCTTTCCTGTGTCACCCCAGAACAGGGTGTGAGCCCAGCAGCTGTGGCAGTGACAGGGACATTGTCTTGTCACTGCCACCACCCAGGAGTCCCCGTGCAGGGCAGGATTTGTGTATTTGTGCTTCTCTGAGAGGCAGCACCACCCTGGGCTGTGCTTTGTGCCATGCCATCCGTGCCATGCCATCCGTGCCATGGCCACCACTGCCCTCACCCAGGGACTCTGACCCAACCATTCCCCAGCCCCTGAGGGGTTAAACGTCCCCAGCCACCCCCAAATGACGGAGAGACGCTGGTCCCCAGCAATTAGGTGACAGACCCGGGTACACCGCAGCCCGGGCTGTGACGTGAGGACGGATCCAGGCTGGCTGGCGGTTTGTCTGTCCCTGGCTGGCACCCAGCGCCCGGAGCCGCCGCAGCTGCTTCCCGGCCCCTCGCGGCACCGGAGCGATGTGTCACCGGGAATTCCGGACCCTGCAGCCTCTGCGGTGCCCCCGGGCCTGGCGACACCCCCAAAATGCCCCGTGGGGTCTCTGGGATGTCCCCGCTGCTGTCCCTGCTGGGTGCGGGGTGCCCTCCCCAGGAGCAGAGCAGGGGCGCATTTCCCTCCCTAAAACAGCTGCCCTTTGGGGTCAATTCACAGATTCTGCACGTTTTGGTGCTGAGGGCTTCAAAACCTGCAATGGGAAAAGATTTCTGAGTCTCCAGAAGGCTCCGAGCCCTCCCTGGGGGGGTTGGTGTCCCCTTCCCGAGCCTGGGGGCACAGACGGGCTGGGGTGAGCAGGGAATCGCTGCCGCTGGCTGGGAATTGAGGAGAAAAACAACAAAAAGGGGGTTTGGAGTGAATCTGCAGCCGAGGCCGTTCCCAGTTTGCCCAGTG